AAGACTATTCTATAACTACTCAACAATTTTATTTAATCTGCTCATTGATCTAAAAAATTCTATATTTAATTTAAACAAAAATATTCTATATACATGCAGCAAGAGTTTTCGTCTCTTAATCTATACAAAAAGCTTGTAACTTCAGTGCGTGAGACGAAAACTCTATTAAGACCCAGTGAAAAATATTTTCATTGTGTTCAACTCATGTAACCATTTTTAGGTTTTGGAACGTGTTTCTGAGCGTTTAACGCAATAGAGCTTGACGCGTTTGTACGCGTCCAAAATGCAACATTTTCGGGTGTTCAAACGCGTTAGAACTAAAGAAACGCATCCAAACTCGTTTGATATATAAGAGCATCACAACGCATTTACGTATAAGGATGCGTTTGTAGGCGTCCAAAATGCAACATTTTCAAGCGTAAGAACGCGTTCAGAGAACTGAGCGCGTCTGGATGCGTTTACGTTTTTCTCAAAAAACTTGAAAAAATAACCATCACTCTGTGTCGGATTCGAACCGACGCATCATAGCAAGCTATGATATAGCAATTTCATACCGTGAACAACAGAGTGAAATTTTTCCGACGATAGTTCAAATCTAGATTTGAACACACGACCATCGATTACAAGCCGAGCACAAATAACGCCGAGCTATTTACAGCTCGAAATTAGTTACATGGTCATAAACTGAATGACTAACAATTTTTGAAGCACTTAATAGTTCTAAGAAAAATAATGTTGATTATTATCACTTTGTATGTGAATATCAATAGGATTTTTTGATACAATAAAAATAAACGCATTTTTCACATTTATAAACAACAAATAAAAAGAAATAAAAAATTTCATTATCTAAAAGAGGAATAAAAATTAAAGAATAATTTAACATTTCTTTTTCATAAATAAGAAAATTTGTTTTATAACAAAATAAATAATCTTTATTTCGTTAATAATAGAATATATATTGTTATTTAAAGTTGAGAATGCTGTATGAAAATATATGGAAAATATTATCTGTATCTACGTATTTGTAACTATGACGTTACAATTTTTGAAGAACCGTTTTGAGAAAAAAACAAGATTAGGTGTTCATAGAACAAGTTATTCTTTAACTTCACTTATTTTATTCATAAATTAAGTATTCATTTATATTTTCCTACAATTCAGGAAATCATTCGCCATTACTTTTAAAGATAATGAAGATTTTCTTTCTTTATTTATCCTAACCTCATAAAACGTAAAAGTTTCATATGAACTCATTATTTATAATGAAGAACAATAAAGACAAACTAATATCATCTTTGAAAAAATTGGTTTGCCGAAGTTTAGATAAAACCAAATAGTTGAAAATGAAAATAACATTCACAGAAATTATTTTTGCATACAGGAACAAGGTGATGAAATAAACGGCAACAGCACTAAGATCACAGTAGCTCGTTTGCGCATTATTAAAACTTTTCGGAAATGAGGTCGACTAAAGCATTAATACGAAAGAGGTACTCATGTCACTCGTATTAATCTTTTTCTATTTAAAGTACAAAAATATTTAAATTTGAATTTTAAGTTCAAACTAAATGATTGATTTTTCTTTTTTTCTTTCTACTTTGAATGAAATGTTTAATGATATTGAGGTGTAAGTAAATTTTATAGAATCTTTGTAGAAGAATCAATGGGAATTGGAGTAAATATATTTAAAGAATTGAGGTTTTTTTTTTTTTGTATACGATTATATGCATTTTATTTCGTCTGACACATTTGATTCTTTAGTCCAAAAATTTTAATATTAAGAAATAAAAAAATATTAAACTTTAGCATATAAATATCATATATGTGATAAGTGCGTTCATAAGCAATCCAGATAAAATATTAATCGCACATGAGCAAATCAAAACGCACAGTAGCAATAGTGCATGGATGCGCGTTTTGTATTCTGAGTGCATTTAGATGCTATTTAAAGTTGCTTTTAGTGGCATTCAGGCACAATAATGTTTCAAGTTGTTTTTGAAAACAACTGTATCATCGGGTTTGGTCTACATTTAGAGACTTTCGTTTNATTTTTTTGTCTTAGAATATATAGTTTGAATTCTGTTATCTCTTTAAAAGAAGTAAAAATTATTCGCCATAAGTTGGCGCCATCTTGGTTTAAATGTATATCATCTTTACGTCGTTACAGAAAGAAAGAAAAAAAAAAGTTAAAAAGTAGTTGTCAACTGAAGTTTGACATATGTTTCGAATCTACGAAATTCGGGCTGTTCGTTGATATCAATAATAGCTCCTATGTCTTTTACGAAAAAAAATAGAAAACTTCTAAAAACCTGATAAATTCTTGGGTGAGTGCGTTACCAAACAGGGTCTATAGTTAGTTTTTCACCATAACTGCTTGATCAATTTGACCTTAACGTACAAACCTTTGCTAACTTTTCATAGGCTACCTAGGGGCTATATAAGTTGCGATTTATCTCTGTCCGTTGAAAAAAAAAATAGTAACGCACTCACGAAATATATTTTTCCTATATGTCTCATTTCAGACTTTATAATAAATTAAGTCATCTTTTGACATCATAAACTGGTCTTAAACATTTATTGTGTTCATAAAACTATAATGACTTTTACAAATGCACAAAAGCAAAAGCGCTATCGTGAAAATTTGAAAGCCAAAGGCTTATATCAAATAATGAAAGCCAAAAATACTGTACGAATGAGAATATATCGTCAAAATTTAACAGGTGCAAGGAAACAAGATTATGATAAAAAACATGCAGAATCACAAAGAGCTTATCGTAATAAAAACAAAAAGTCCAAGTATGTACTATACTATTTGATAATGCTTCAGGAAAATTTTCCTCATCTTTAGAAATTCTTTCTCATCAAAACAGTCTTTCGGAAAGGCATTAAAAAAAGCAAAATGTGCTCTTCCGAAAGACTTCAATAAAAAAAAAGTTGTCGTTCGAGCTCTAGCTCAAGCAGTTGGTATTGTGCCTCGAAATAATTATCAACGTACTACTCGAAAGTTATCATCAAAAATAAAAAATAGTATAATTGTATTTTATGGTCGAGATGATATTTCATACCAAATGCCTGGAAAGCGTGATACTATTGTCGTCAATGATAATGGAAATAAAACAACATATCAAAAAAAAATTATTCTTTATACTATTCGAGAAGCATACGAACTTTTTCTTGCTGAGAATCCAGGTGAGTTGCTTTTCTATAGATTTTTAATCCTTCAATTTTATTTAAGGTATTTCTGTGGGTCGAACGGCTTTTGCTGAAATACGTCCTAAACATATTTCAGTGAAGTCGTCTATGGCGCATCGTGTATGCATTTGCATATATCATGAAAACGTGAATTTACTTTTAAATAGTTTATCTAAACATGTCAATGGATCATTTTGTTCAAATTTATATTCATTTACATCGGCTCTTGTTTGTGATGAGTCAAATTATGATTGTATGTCATCTAATTGTTTTACTTTTGAAAATTATTTCGATTTAAATATTAAAAATAATGTTATTGATAAACATATTCAAATAAAATGGTACCAATGGAAGCATATTAATGGTTATGCCACAAAAGAAGAGCAACAAGAATCAGTTGAACAAGCTATTGAATTATTATCTTCTAAAGTGAAGACATTTCTATTACATATTTACATTAAACGTCAACAAAGTCAATTTTTCGAAGAATCAAAGGCCAATACCAATAATAAAAAAATTGTTATTCAAGTTGATTATAGTGAAAATTTCGAAATAAAACAACAAGATGAAGTTCAATCTGCTCATTGGAGTTCCAAGTCGGTTTCTATCTTTACAGCTTATGCTTGGTGTGGTACGGACAATTATT